CCCCCATTCAACAAAACAAAACAAAAGAAGAAAAAAAAACAACAACCAACAAACAGAAAAAACATCAGACAGGACGTTTCCCTGCACCAATCAGCAATGCTGTTTTTACAGCCTATTGTCTGTACAGTTATTTTTAAGAAGTACAAGATGCTGATGAAACAGCTTTATTTATTACAACATTTTCAAAAGGGAGCACATTTTATCAAAGCTGCATTTTTTTTTTTTCTACCAGTAAAGCTACTGTATAGACTTTGTCATTTCCGTAGTTTCTGGCCTGAATGGGACATACAATATGTAAATATAGAACAATAAAAAGGCTCTTTGCAAAACTGACAACTCCTTAGAAGGGTATATCCATCGCCCCCACCCCACCCCACTCCCATGAAAAACAAACAACAGAAAAAAACAAGAAAAAACCCAACTAAAAACATAAGTATGTCTAAATACATTTTAAAAATTAATTTAACAAATGAAAATTAAAATGTTAAAAATAAAAATACACATTATCACCACTTGCTCTTTTCTTTCAAGTATAATTTATTATTTGTTTAAGGGGCAGACCCATCGGTGGTGTAGCAGTTAGGTGCTTCGTTGTCGCACACAGAAGACAGAGCCCAGTTCAACTCCCGAGTGGGGAAAATATTATAATTTGAGGATCTTGTCGGTCTTTCTGAAGGGACGATGTACCACTTTCAGCCCAGGCTAGCCCTGACAGGCAGGGCTGAAGTCACCGACTAAATGATCTAAATCGTGTCAACGGGGGCGTTAAAAAAAAGACAACATTATTATACGTTTGGGACATACCAATCTTTTCTTTCGATACGTCTCGTCTTCCTCTTTCCGTCTTCTCTCTTTTTCCTCAGCGGGAAAACTTTTTCGAACGACATCCGTCGTCTGATGGCGAAAGTCTGCAAAACATAATGCAATACGCAACATTTAAGAAGCTGAAAAAAAAATTAGGGTCTATAACATAATATAAAAACGTTTCAACATCTCTCGTCTAACTCTGAATTAAGTTTTGGAGAAAAAAAAACCTAGAAAAAAACATGCAAAATAGCGAAAGCAAAAAAAGTCAACCAAAAAACATTAGAACATTAGATAACATGCAAATAATCATAACACCACTCTCCCTTTCTCTCCCTTTCTCTCCCTTTCTCTCCCCTTCTCC